CTGGGGTTGTTTAGCCTGGAGAAAAGGAGGCTGAGGGGAGACCTCATCGCTCTCTACAACTCCCTGAAAGGAGGCTGTAGCGAGGTGGGTGTTGGTCTCTTCTCCCAAGTAACTGGCGATAGGACAAGAGGAAATGGCCTCAAGTTGCGCCAGGGGAGGTTTAGATTGGACATGAGGAAAAATTTCTTTCCTGAAAGAGTAGTTAAACATTGGAACAGGCTGCCCAGGGAAGTGGTTGAGTCCCCATCCCTGGAGGTATTTAAAAGACGTGTAGACATGGCACTTAGGGACATGGTTTAGTGGTGCACTTGGCAATGTTAGATTAACGGTTGGACTTGATGATCTTAAGGGTCTTTTCCAACCTTAATGATTCTATCATTCTATAATTCTATGATTAAGTGTAGGGCTTTCTGTTAGAGGGAGAGATTATTCGGTCAGAAATGTGATCAGAGGGCTCAGTCAAATAGGAGCAAGGCTCGAGAAGATTTCAGAAGATGCAGGGCTAAGGCTCGGGGGCCCTGCAAAGCTTGACTTCTTTCACTGTACCTCTGCATCCTCTGACATAATCTGCCAGCCAAAAAAATTTAACCTTTAGATCAATCTCACAGACTGCCACAGCAGAATTGGCAGCGAGATCTGCTTGGCAGCAAGAGTTCTCGTGGAGAACAGCAGGGTTTGTGTTTGTTACTCAGATGGGTCCTTCATGGGTTATTTCTTTATTTACGTTGATGGGAAATATACAAACGTGGCATTTTGAATTAACACATAGTCATCTTCTACAGATTAGAACTGAGGGACTGTGGGTACTTTTCATGCTGTGTTAGTGAGAGGGATAAATGAGACCATGCACACCTTACAGCAGTGCCCCAGCAGGGTGGAACCTTAAACAAGATGAAGACGACACTTATAGGAGGAAAATATCGAGAAAATAGCACCATGACCAGTGAAGTTGTTTTGTAATGCAAATATCAATATTTATCTGTATCCAATTACAGCTGAGACAGTTATATTAACTGGCTATTGTTGTTGTTAGGCTTTTAATTTGCCTTGTAATCTACATCTACTATATTAGTTATTAGACGAATAGGCATTTATTGTACTATGCATTAGAGAACAATCTAGTTTTAACTAGCATGGGCGTTGTTTTCTAGATGGTCTATTATTATGGTTCGGGCTGGTTGAAGATTTGTTGTTCGACTTCTATTGGAAAACACCATTCTCTAACAAAAAGGAAATTAAGTATTGGCGTGAGGATTAATTATGACTACTAAGTGCTAAATTGATAAAGGAAGACTTTCAGAAGCTATTTCAGCTGTAAAGACCAGGTGATGTCTCATTAAATACCACAACCTTTAGAAGTAATATGATGGCATAATCGCTTTTAAAATCCCATACTAATTTAAAATTTGCTTTTTTGCACTGTATTGAGCTCATTTCAGAAGTACAGTAGCACACACTACATTAGAACTATTGTCACTTTTAAAACATTGTCTTTTTCAATTGTTCACATCCTATGCTGACACCCCCCAGTTTTTTTTACATTCTATCGGTTTGCACAGCTTCTTCAGAGCATATGTAAAGCAGCATACTTCTGTGTCTGGACCTCAAATTAGTACAATCAACTGCATCTCTGAAAAGGTCTAATTCTGATAGAACCAATCAGAATTTTTCCCATCAGAAAAAAACAACGATTGTGAAAAATCATAGTTTTGCCACTATTATGACTCTATTTTATGTGCCATACAACTCCTTAGCTGAATTATACCACCAAACTCACTGAGAAAGCATCAGCTCAGAAACTTAGGTATTCCCAAATACCTCTAAATCAGTGAACAGATACTGTTTTGCAGTACCTGTTTTATGAAATGCAATATATTTTTATACATATATATATTTTTAATTTCTAGATGGCTACCCTAAAGAGGAAATGATTTACAGATGGAGGAAAAACTCAGTGGAGGCTGCTGACCAGAAGTCTTGGAGACTCTATCAGTTTGACTTTATGGGTCTCAGAAATACTTCAGAAATTGTGAAAACCTCTGCAGGTAAGAATGATACAAATGGTAGTGCTTGTTTTGGAAAACAAATTATCTCAAAATATTTGTTCCAAGTTTGCTTTCATTTGAGTGCAATTTGATTTCAATGTTCAATGTTTAATATGAACCAATGTTCATATTAAAACCTCTGAAGTGCAGACTTCAAAACTATTGACTTCTTCTAGATTTTTGATAACTTCTCTACTCTTGTAACTTCACAAATCGAGGAATAAATGGTAACTTGACATGACTGTTTGTTATATACTTGCAGTTACTATATGTTTCTCAGCTAAGTTTATTAAGCCATTTCTGCATTGAGACGTATATTTTCACCATAAATTAAAGAAAAAGATTTTGAGCACAATAGTAGAGTTAGTGAAATTAGACACTGTCAACAGTAGTTAGTCATTCAGCCACGGGTTTAGTATTTTTCATAATATTTCAAAGACACTCTTTATTTCTCAGCTGATAAAGGCCTTTGCTAGCAACCTTACCAATTGATTGTAATTAAAATCTAATGATGCCTATTTTAGTTCTTCAGAAATCTTGCTGTTTCTTATAATAACATCAACATAGGGAAAAAAGATGTATAAATAGAATACATTATTTGAACTGGATAAATTCTCATGAAATTCAAACAATATCTAAACTTTATACATGACTCTGCAGTAAGCTCTGTGATTACCATTCGGTAAGTCTTCTCCCAGCTGCAGAAAGAACCTGCTAGAAGCAACTTCCTGCTTAACTGGTGGTGAATATTTGAAAAATCTGATTTATTTTTTTCAAAATGTAAGCAGAACTATGTTATTCTTTTGGAAACACTGTGAACAATAGAAATAATAAAAATTATTAATCTGTGAAACTACTGCTGTTGGGTCATGACCCACCCACTAACATCAGTAATGTATTCTCAGGACTGGATAGCAATTTTTGTAATGAAGAGTCACTAAAGCTCTAGTGAATATTTTGGGCTGGTAGTTTAGCAGAGCAAAATGTTGCAAACCACGCACACGTAAAAGTTCTCTTCTGTTATGGATACAAATCCTTGTAGTCTGTAAGTTTCTCAGGAATGCAAATTCCTCGTGTGAGTCAGCCATAAGTTGAACCAGGAGTTGGTGGATAACAGTCAAGTACCAAAGAGCAAACATTGAAGTATCTGTGTATGCAGGCATGGAGCTCATTGGAAGGAATGGTATGAATAGGAGAGAAAGCCCTGCTCTTTCTGCTTTGCTCATAAATGGAGTGATGCCATTCTGAGTTTGCATCAAGAACTGCTAAGTACGTGTGCAAGAAGAATTACCGAGCCAGCCATATTGAGATGTTGACAGTAACTTGATAAAGAGATCTATTAAACTCTTCTTTGCACAGGACAAAGCCATTTTTATAGAGGTCTCATTCAAGTGAGTAAATGGTTAATGTGGAGCAAGAAAAAATAGATTTCCTATGCTTTTTTTAGTATGTGCCCAGTTCTTATCAAGTTCTTACTACTATTGCTGCTTCTGCCCACCCATGTTTATGAGTGCAAAACCCAATAGCAGTGTTGAACTGAACCTACTGGAGCCATCATGACATTTCTATTCTCCCAAAGGCATCACAGTAGCAGAAAGTTGTTGGCAAACTGGACTTTATTCAAACACTAAAAAAGAAACAAACCCCAAAACAACCCTCTCAGGAGGTTGTGGAAACTAACTTGGAAGAAACAATGTAAAATGTATGGGTGAGATTGTCAGCTGTGTTTTTAGGTAGAAAAACGAGTTGTGCATATGGCCCACATATTCTGGCCAGCAGATGGCTAAAAAGGGGCTCTCATTCAACAAATATGTGAAAGATGTGAAAAATAAAACACTGAGTTTGCACATGGACCTGAATTTGCATAGAATAGACTCTCTGGCTGTATTTCCACTATCGCTTAAGGTACTTTCAAGGCCAGATTTACTGAACATTGACAGTATTTACTGTCAGGAGCAAACCCAGGGCCAGGACGTGGGAAAACTAACTGGTACGTTGGAAAACCTTGAGTATGCCCTATGCTATAGAGCAAAGATCCCCAAGAGGGAGGGAGGGAGGGAGGGAGGGAGGACACAACCCATCTGGGATTGTGCAGTATGTCTCAGAGACAAAATTTAAGATAATTTTGTGACTACCTGCTGTGAGTATGTAAGTATATATGAACAAGTAGGATAGAGAGGCAGCTGTGCTGTGGTACATGCCTGTTTACTGAAGGCAAGTAGCCCTATCAAAAAAGTTTGAGAATTAGGGAACCCCCAAAGCTGCTGTTTCCTACTGCGTGGACAATCTCTGGTGAAGAGAGACAGCAGCTCCTGCCTACAGGTATCCCATCTCCTTTACAGCCATGCCACAGGGGTTACAGGCGGTCAAAAAAGAGATGCCAGGTTCTGTCATGGAAGATCTGTTGCATGTTTACACTAAAGCTGCCCGAAGAGGGAGACTCCGCTGGGGCTGCCCCTGGGACGCTATGGGTATAGGACCCCCTCGATTTTGGGCTGCTCCCCCGACTAGCCTCTGGGACTGTGTGTGTCCCCTCTGAGCCATGCAGGAGCCATAAAGGCCCCACCAGCCACCATCCCTTTGCAGGCTCAGGACAGAAAGGAAGAGCAGCGTTATTCAGAGTGCTGTGCAGGGAATCATTCAGAGTAATGAGATGGAGTTAGGAAAAGGGAAGCAGGCGGGTTACCAACAGCAGCTTCCTGACAAAGAGAGGTATAAACATCATCTCTTCCTCCCAAGGGAAATTGTGGAAACTACTATTACACAGGTCATTTAAAAGCAGACTAGGCAAACTATGAGAAAAGGTACTGCAGGGAGCAGTCCTCTACTAGCAGGAGATGGATTCCAAACCCTAACATCTTTTTCTGCTTCTGACTTACACCTTTCTGCTGGCTTATGACTCTATTACTTCCCACTAAATTGTGTGTTCATGATATATATTATGAGAGCTGCTGCAGCGTTACCTACCTGTGGCCAGTTCAGGGACGCCTTTTTTCGCTCCTTTTCAGCAGTGTTCTGGCTATAATGAAGAGAGGTCACACTGACCACATGGCAACGCACTGCTGTTCTTCCAGCATTTGTGTAAGCCCTTTCTTGGTAGTCATTTTCACCACAAAATGAGTAGATTTAGTACTCAGCAGAGTTCTGCTATTTGATATTCTTTCAGTCTTCCCAAACCTTTTTCAGACGTCTAAATAACATTTATGTTAACCTAGGGCAATTTCAGAGGTACACAAGTAGGAAGCCAACTGTCACGAAGACTGTATTTCTGAAATCTAAGCAAGAAGAGAAATGTTGTATCTCTTGCCTTGAACCAGCAATAGCTTAAAGCATTGCCACAGTGGGGTGCTTTACTCTTGCAAGAAGACTATCCTCTTTTACAATAATCTGGCAGCCAGAGAAAGTTTTAATTGCCATCTGGAAGAGGTGTTCAGCTTTTTCTTGAGGATTTTTTTTAATTTCATGCTAAGATACAAACACAACCAGATAAATATCTACTGCATATGGTGATTACATGGAATACACAGCAGAAATCACTGTGCCGGTGCCGTGGTCATGAACCTTTACCTTACACCATAAGTAAGCTCTCACTGTCAGGTGATATCAAACTAATTCACAAGTACTGAAGAATTCCCTTGTTGCCATCTGGCAAGATACTCAGATAGTATAGCAAGAGCACTTTTCTTGCTACAATGTCAAGTAAGGCTGACAAAGATACTTAAAGTAGAGGGAATACTAAGCCGCCTCGCACTGAGCTATGAAAAGAGGAGGAATGGCATGTAAGGAGAAAATTCTCAAATTTTAAAACTGCAAATCAGCCAGCCGAAGGGTGGTCAGGAAAACAGGAGAGAGAAAGAAGAAGAACATCATCCTTAGAAGCACTCTGTGTGTGTTTGCAGTAAACTTCAGGTTTCCGAGTCCCAGCCTTTCCAAGTACACTTGGGGGAAAACAAGCAAACAAACAAACAAAAAAACCCAAAAGAGAATTATGAAGGAGTAAAGCTCATGGAGTGAGCTGTAGTGTTGCTTGCACTTTTCTGCTGACATCTCCCCCAGGGAAAGCCTATTCATTCTTTTTAAACCACTCAATTTTTTTACATTGCTAGATAAACACAAAGACCTTGTAGCTACTGAATCTAATTTTCATTTACTTGCAAACTTCTTTGCATCGTACAAGTCCTATTTGTGTTCTTCCTCAGATGCCTTCAGCCTGAGAGATTTTTGCAGTCCAAAGGAGCCTTTGCATAAATAAGTTCAAGATAATCCATCAGAAATAGAAAACACCATAAAAGTGCCCTATTTAAAAACTTTAATAGCTGATCATTACAAATGAAATATACAGAACCAGACAGAAAATACCATTTCATACATTCTGAATAACCCCCAAGCATCGTTAGCAAACCCAATAAATAGCCATAACTACCGCCATAAAAAGGTACACCTTTGCATATGTACAATGGACGGGTGACAGTGGAGTCTGCCTGTCATACAACGTCTAAATTGTGCTTATATTTTGAAATTGCTGTTTCATCAAGTACCTCAGCTTAGATGATGCTTTCAGCCCTATATCACAGGGCTGCAAAGCAAGGTTAACACCTGTTGTCACAGATTCAGATAAAGCTCTTTGAGACAATGCTAATAACACCACAATTTAAAGTACATACTCTGTTGCAGGGGACTCAGCAAATGGCTAGTAAAAACCTACCCTAGAACAAAAATAAGAAAGCTTGTCTTTTAAGAAGATGCAAAGACCTACATAAATAGCTATTGGCAGAAGAAGGGAGGAATAGACATGTTTTTATAGGGAGGCCAAATTTCACTGGGGGAGCCCTCATCAGGTCAAGGGATGGATCAGGCGGAGACAGGCATTAGTCAATACTCCTTGACTTTGTCAGAAGACCAAAACACTCCCAGAGATTTATCCAGAGGAAAAGATGCTCATGTGCCTAGCTCTTCTACTAGGTGAGCAAAAACCATCTGACTTTAGAAACCATTTCAAA